AAATTTTGACAATTTACTGTTATCTACATCCTTAAATGAGACATGACAGATTTAAATAACAACCAAGCACTGATATTTTTCGTCAATGTCATTGACTTATCTTCTGACTGCATACATGTACATTATGGCTGGTACAGGTATTGAGTTTTCCATCTTGCATCTGTAGATCAAATTATATTTCGTGAAATTTCACACAAGACACATTAAGTAGTATCAACAATTGTTTTTATTATTGAAACATTTTGAATTTCAATGCCATGCTTGCAATACTTCACAAAAGCAATACCTTATGTGAATAGCTGTTCGAGATATAGGGAACAAACCTTGAAGTACCAATTTTATACAATATCTTATATGAACTGTCTATTGTATAGTATCTCACTGTAAACTATTGATTTTATTAATTATTTATATATCAAACTGGTCAAAAGTCCCTCCTCCAGTTCCACGCATTTCTGCGTACAGTTGATCACCTCACAAATACATGTAGTGTTTATTATCCCAGATGCCATATCTGAAATGACTCGAGATACAGAAAGTACAAAGTATCGATGAAGATATCCATGTTATACCATTTCTTCAAATTTAGAGCATGCATCCCCTTTTTGACCAATAGCATGCAATATATATATATATATATTTTTTTTTTTAATATAATATTATATATTCCATTACATATGCATAATTCGTTATCGTAATGACACGCACTTAATTTGTTATATGTATGTATATGTTATAAATGGTTTTTTAAAAAGTTATATATTCCTTGTTATGTTGGATCTAAAAACTAACGTGTGGGAATCATAAAAAATATAATTGTAATATAAAGATGTAAACTAGTTCTGAGCTTACAAGTGCGTAATAAAATAGGTCTGATTAAAAAAATGTGACAATTCGAGCGTTTTTGGGATCTAAAATATGTATGTCATCTAGACAATTTTTGCCTGGCTGTTTGTGGTCTTTCTCTCCCACCCTCGGCGTATTTTGGTCACTGGGATACTGATGCACGGCAGCAGACACAAAATCCTGAGGAGGACAACCACAAAAGGGAACAGCAGGACATTCCAGGAATTGGTCTCGTAAAAGGCTGTTTCCTGCCAGTACTCACCCCCCATGCAAACAACATGCGCAATACTCGTTAAAAAACAGACGACACCAACGTAGGACTGTATGCACGTCCATTCCCGCCAGCTGAGGGTCTGTTGCACGGAGGGTAGGGTGGCAATCCCGACAACGGCCATAAGTATCAGCGCAATTGTGCCGGCCAAGAGCATCGTCTCACCTGAAGCAATGTGTGAGTCACAATTACATTAATATCCCTAGGAAAATGAATTAAACTTTTGACACCCAATTACCCTACCCTCTACCAGGGTCTCAGTTATTTTTATGGACATTTTTTTTTGCTGAATCGACATCAGACCAAAATGACTGTCTATTTATCTAGAGACATATCTGTGAATATCTGTGAAAAATCGATCCGTCGCCCTGGTAGAGGGTACAATTACCCCTACAATTACGTCCAAGAATGAGCTGTACCGACTCCTTTTGTTTAAGCACGGTCACGCCTGCGCAGGGATGAAGTAAAAAAAACTTTTGGCAACATCAGTTCATACATGTATTCTACAACTGTATTTTCAAACTACATAGACTATTTTATCATTCAGTTAATATTCATTGACTATGACACGTCATAAATGAATTGTCCATCAGATATAGTATACCTTTCCAATTCATCTTCCCAGCGATGGGAATAGATGCCGTGACGAAGTCTGAGGCATTGGCGTGTCGCACAACGTTCACCATCTCCACTTCATAGTAATAGTCGCTCAGGTAGGCCAGGTCGTATTGGGGCAGGGCAAGCACGGTGTGGATAACTGAAAACGCCAGGGTTATAATACCCAGGTGCTTTCGAGCCTGGGAAAATATGAATTTAGTTGATATATATATGCTCCGTAACATGGAAACAGAACATAAATTGTGAAGCAATGAAAGCTGATACACGCACACCCTCTCTCTGACGCGCGCGCGCGCACACACACACACACACGTCACTATCGTAACCGAATGTATGCGTGCACGCACGACGTTCATGAAAATATGAGGGTTCTCTCGGGCACGCTATAAAGGCACATGCACTGCACGAGTGTGATATTCGTCGGATAAAGTTTACATTTATTATTATTGGTCCTCATGATCGCCAGCCTAATCATTAGTTTTTATTATTTATTTTTAACATTTTCACGTGTGTACATGTATCACTCGTGTTCTTTATAAGTTTCGTGAAATCATAGATATAGACATGCCCTATGTCGTCATGTTTCTTTTTATTTTCTCAGTGTATAATTACCTTCATCCACCCGTCAAACCAACGAGGGAACTCCTTGTGCTTCGTTCCGTTCACGAGTTGCAAGATGGCGGCAAGAGGGGCAGGGAGATACACACACGCCAGCAGCTGAAGGGCGGCAAACCCGAAGGCCAACATAAGCATCATGGAGGCGAACTGGTTGTAGTTGTACTTCGGTGTCGAGGGCACCCAGTAGAATTTCAGCAACAGGCTCAGTGTGGATACAACCAACACAAAGAAGGAGAAAAGAAGGGGAAAACCCCATCCTGGGAACAGCTCCAGTGTCATCAGTTCCACCTGTTACGATACATGTTATTGTCTTTGGATAAGATATTTTGATAGATATTTTCCTTTTCGTATTAATATCCTTTCTAAGAACTTACCGCTTGTCTTATTTTTTTATGTCTATATAGGATTAGAAGCATAAAAACTTAAGTGATAGCGGGATAAATTACAGGGGTTTTTTTTAGTGTTCGTGATAATTTGGATTATTATCCCTACAGGTATGTACATGTGCGAGTAAAACCAATTAAAATATATGCTACAACACAATCTAAACGTGTTCCAATTTATTATTATCAAATCTGACGTAAAGTACATGTTATAGCTGTTCACGTAATGCAAACCAATAATGCCGACCTGCTTCCATCGTTCAGATGGATGGATCAATGGAAGACGCTGAGAAGACAACCGTCAGTCATAAAACATGTACAGGCATTCGTTTATTAGCATATAACGCTTTTATAACATAGAAACTAGCGGTTTACGTAGATCGGTCCAACTACAGAAAAGCTGGCGATTATACGGTAACGTTGGAAAGAAGAGGAGGTCGGCATATTAATCTCCTAGTTCAGAGTCTCCGCAGCGTTGGATCGATATACATAGACCGATAGCTTCAATGGGAATGAGTCCTATCTTTATAGTTACCCACCTTCCGAGCGGCCAGCAACCCCCCA